GCTGAAAGAAAGCATTGCTACAGTGCCAGGTTCTAGTCTAAATAATTTTAGCTGGCAGGGGGAGGCTGCAGTGATGGGTGCAGTGTCCGAATGGAGGTGGTGTCTTTGGGAAGCAGTGGGGACATAGCTGCTCCACCTGATTCTCCCCTAGTCCATTGGATGGCCTGGGCAAGTCATCTTTCCCTGCCTCTGTTTCCCCATAGATATGTCTGGTAAGAAACCATCCTAACCCCAGAGGTCTGACAATACACACAGGCATTTTACAGAGATGGAGTCAAGACAATGAGGTCATGACCTGCCCGAGGTCACACAAGAAACCAGTGGTATTGGCTCATTTTCTAGGGGTTCTAGTACCCAGGGCATACAGTGCTGCCATAGATGTGATGGACACATATGCCATGAGGGCAGGCATGGTCTTGGGGGAGCAGAGGGGGCAGTGATGGGATTTCACTGGTTTATAAGGAAGCAGCAGGGCTCAGATCGCTGATCACTTTATAATGTCCCCTTGTCTGCAAGAGCCTGCATGTGACCCCCTCAAATCAGCTTTAAGTCTAGATCACGCTTACACCTCCTTGCTGGACACGAGCATGAGAACAGGATTTCTGTTCCTTAGGAGGGCAAGTGCAGAGTCAGCAGCCAGAGCCACCAAATCCCTGTGCATGCATGGTCCGAGTCACTGAAAGGCGGAAGGAGCGTGAGCAGGGTTGGACGGGGTTATATGGGTCTCTGAACTGGAGGAAGTTCTTGCCTGTGAATGTCCAGGTCTCTAACCTCCACCCCCATCCTTTTTTTTTTCTTGCTCGTTTTGCCACAACAGGGAGATCGCAGGCACAGAGGAACCAGCCCCATTTTCAGCGGCCAAGTGGCCGTGACTGCCTTCCCAGAGGAGGCGTGCTGACGTCCTCAGAGCCTTGCCCCCCTGCCCTGCAGCTCATCTCGCTTGTGCAATGAGAACTAATAATAGTTGTCAGGACTCCAGCTGGCAGGGTCCTGTCACCCGTTGCTCTCCTCCCATCTCCCCTCTGCCTGCCTGGGTGTGGGGGGGAGGCTGTTGGCCAGACCAAGGGGCACGTTTTCTATCCCGTTGTGCCCTGCAGAGATGGAGGAACAGTGCTTGGCCGTGTGGAGTCCTGGCAACCGCTCCTTGGTTTTCCCGATGATTCCAGCGAGCAGTGTCAATGTGTTCCCCTATTGTCTGGGACCAGCACAAAGACTGGGAGGTTAATCCTGCCCTGTGTTAAGCGTGCGGGACTGCTGAGCCAGGCAGGGAGTGAATGGGGATCCTGGCTCCGAGGCAGAGAAGAAGGGGTGTGGGGGGAGGCTGTGCATGGGTGGGGGCGGGGTCCCCATCCAGTTTCTTCTGTCCAGACTCCAGTGACTGCTGACAGTTGTGAACCAGAAAGCACAAGCAGTGCTAGTGATGGAGAAGGAACGGGACACAATGGAAAGAAGGGGTAGAGCCCTTCCAAGCTCCTCCAGAGTAGTGCCTGTTTCCCCAAAAGCAGACAAGGAGCCAAACAAAGCACCCACTGCAAATGGGGCAGAGATTTGGGGCATTGGAAATCTCCGTCAGCACTGAATAAGCTGCCCGGATCCCAGCACCCCCTGCCTTGGGAGCATTTGGAAGCTGAGCCCAGAGGTGAATTTTGCAGGTGAAGCCGATCTTTAGTAGACAAGACGGCAGCATTTAGCCCTTCCTAATGAGAGAGAGAGGTGGAGGGATGGATGATGTTTTGGCACGAGGGAACATTGCATTTGATTGTCCAGAGAAAGATCTTGTGTATGGTTTTCATCTGTCCCTCCCTGCTCAGAAGTCAGGGCGCGAGGGAGTTGTGCTTGCAAGCACAGTGGGCCAGGTTTCCAACCAGACTCAGAGTTAGCAACAGGCAGAAAATAAATCTGCTTGGCTTTTCAGTGGGAAACAAACCATCCTTTCCGTTTCTTTGGGCTGTAGGGTGTGCGCCAGGAGCTGTTACTCTGCAGGGCAAGAAGTCCGGGTTTCTGTCACAGAGACTCAGCTGCCAGTGTGCTTTCGAAAAAATGTTTGAGGGCATTACAACACCCGCCTTGAGACAGCATGCAGCATGGAAACCAGCCCAGAGCCGGGCTGTTGCATCCTGATGCAGAGCAAACGTGTTTGCAGAGCTGCCTTGGGTGGCTGTATAGGACACATCTGCCTAGGTGGGATTGTTTTCTCAGATCTTCATCATGATCATAGCAAGAACCAGGACAGGAGCATCCTGACCCTGGCAGCTTTGTTGCTTGATTTCTAAATGGAAAATACCTTCCCAGCCCTAAATACGAGCTACCTCTGGTTATTACCTCCCCTTTGTGTCTTTGTGATGGGGCCAGAGGGAGCATTCTTGAAACAAAAGTGGCCTCAATACCAAGCAGCGGGGTGTCAGAAGGCTCCAGCTGGGCTTCGTTCGAGGGGACTGGATTGTGCCGTGGCAGCAATCTGTTTGTGAAGGCAGTGTCCGTCAGTGATGGCCACATCCATAGGCAATGGCTGGAGATCGGTGCTGGTGTCTGTGGACTGACCACACAGGGAGTGTGCTGGGGTGAGAACTGTGGCCTGTGGCTGGACATGAAGCAGGAAAATCCTGGGTGATAGCTGGTGAAATTGGTCATGCTCTGGTGATCTCTTCAAGCTGGTGAAGACCTTATAGACTGCAGTGGCCAACGGGACAGAGCCCTAGCCCATGGTGGGAGGAGGGTCTCTCCAGATGAGCACCATGGCTCTTTGGGATTGGCAGGATGGTGCTTAGGGATCTGTCAGACCGACACCTAGAGGTTGCTTATGTTGTTCATGGAAGACTGCCCAGTCTCCGGCAGTAACGGAAACTCCTATTTTGGTCCCAGTGCAGTCTCGGCTCCCAGAGCTGCTGCTGCTGGCAAATGCTGTTGCTTTGATGTTTATGGAAAACTCTTCTGGGAGGGAGTGGAAGGCAAGTGAGATTCAGCTGCTGCCGTTCTGCTTTGTGGAGCCCGCCTGCGCTTCCCCACCTGGGGACCCCATCTGCAGCTTGACAAATAACTGCTTAGGCCTGTAATGTGGGGTTAAGAAGAGGGTAATAATAATAATATTACCCAGAATAATCCTGCAGTGGGGGAGGGGGTGTTGGTAGCAAGCTTCTGAAATCCAGCTTCTGTTTGCTTCCCAGTAGTGTGGAGAGCAAGGCTGTGGACATGCTGTAGCCCTGTCGGATGAGATACGGTGGGGCTGGGCGGTGCTGTATGGGCTGAGGATCACAGCAGCGCAGGACTTCAGCACTGCAGAGAGTTTGAAAGCAGCTGCTCTGATAAGCCCTGTTTCATTCACGTTTGAGCCATGCATCTTATTTAGCATTCTTCCTGGGAAAAGAGGCCTTTCTCAGCATGCAGGATCCCTCACTTTCACCAGAGCGTACGAGAGCCAGGTGTGCCCTGGGCATCTTCTGGGAGCCCAGAGATGTTTTTCCTTCCTCATCACAGTCTTTGAGCTCATCCTGAGAGCAGCACATCCTCCAGGAGCATCTGAATCATCTCGGCAGGCAGCTCTGCCTGAGCAGATCTGACAAGCAGTCGTGGTCCTGGACACAGCATGGTGTCCATGTGCCCCTGGGCAGTGTTTTAGCCCAATGCACGCTCCTTCAGCCAGTGGTCCTTAGCCTCTCACAGCATGTCTGTGGGCATGGACCTTTACTTTGGCTCCAGCTACCACATGGTACCACATACAGGGTGGTCTGGGGGAGGATTGCACATGCACTCTTGGAGAGGGGGGTTCAAGCCCAGTTCTTGGGGAGTTGTAATCTCATCTGTTACTCAGTGAATTGCTCTTTTCTGTCTCACATGCAGGCTGTGCCATGTCAGGGCTCTCTCTAAATAAGCCTCTTAAAGACCTGCTCACTCCCAACACCTGCAGCTAAACTGGGACAGGGCAGGAACACATCTTGGGTCAGATTGACTTTTTTTGATGACACTGTCTTTGCATGCAGCGCAATGTGCTGCAATCCCAGGCAGGGCTCCCTGCATTGGGAGTAGGGTGGGTGTTTGATCCCTCTGGCTCTGAAGGCTCAAGCTGCCTGAGCTCAGGGGTTAGGAGCATCGGCTCAGAGGCAGAAACACAGGGCTGCTTCATGAGATGGAGACAGCCAGCCAGAAATTCCCTGGGTGCGAAGGCTACGGTGTGGAGTCACATGTTGTGTCTGGTTGGCTCAGATATGACCTTGTCCATGTTGTCTGGGGGACATTCGGCACAGCTTGTCTGGAGCAGAGATTGTCTTTGTCTGCGTGCATGCGCAGCACCTAGCGCCACGAGGGCCTGATCTCTGACCAAAGTCTGTGGGCATTACTACAGTGCACGTAGCAATCGTGATAATAGAAATAATATAGATTTCAGCACTTCCTTCAGTGGCACAGTTGGCTGGTCACAAAGGCCACAGCAGCATCTGGAAAATGGAAGTGATGCCATGGGGCAGCTCAGGCCTAAACACTAGGTTTTGTCTATAGAAATGCAATCTGAAAGAGCTCTGATGGGGGGCTGAGTTTGCGGAGGGCCCATGAGAAATGGGAATCAACTAGAGCATGAAGAACAGGAAGATGACATTCTCTCAGACCAGGAAGGTGAAGCCACCAGCATTTGCTCTGGGTGAAATACAGGAAAAAAAAGCATAGGGCTTCAGTGCTGAAGAGTACTGTGGGGGCTTGCAGGGCTGTGGGTGGTGATCAGATCAGGCGGTAGGAGACAGGTACAGTTCTCAGCAGGCTGCCAGCGCTCCCTTTAAAATGTGTACCTGTTAGAACTTGAGGCAGACCAGGCGCTTTCCACATCCTTCACTGATCTGTTCTCGTCTTCTCCAGACATGTCACTCGGTGCCTTCCCTCCTGGGGCACAGTGATGATGTGCGGTTCTCAGAACTTGCTGTCTCTCCTTTGAGGTCATTATGGAGGTTGTGGGGAATGTTCCCACGCAGGGCAGCTTTCTATCAATGACTGATTTTTGTTTTCTTGCCTTTCAGTCCTTTCAAGGAAGCCAAGGGCGAGCCTACCTCTTCAACTCAGTGTGAGTGCAACTTCAGAACTGTCATTGCTGCATCTTTGGGGGGTAGACTTTTGACAAAAAACCCAAAAGCTCAAACCCCATAGATAAAAGCAGCAGAAGGATTTGCCTTCTTTCTTTACAATGGAAAGGCAGAGCTCAGACTCTGTGAGCTTACATCAGCGCTGCAGAATGGTTGAAAAGAAACAGCACTGATTCACACATGATTTTATATTCATGATATCGAGGATGATCCTGTCTTGGGCTGAGGGCTCAACCAGATAACCTCATATGGTGCCTTCCAGCCCTACTATATAACCTTATAATTCAGCTACAAGGCTGGGCTAAGGTGGTTTGTTTTTCATGGCACCAAGGAAAAAAACAGCTCACTTTAACATCACTCACTGCTCCGGGGATGCGGTAAGCACCAAACACCAAAGTTTGTAAATATGCAGTAGTAGTTCAGAGTGAGGTATTAGCATATTTTAGTGCTGGCCAACATTATTTTTTTGACCAATTTGTTCCCTTTGCAAAAAAAGTAATGATGTTAAAGTTACTATTTTCTATGGAACTTCCCAGGGCAAAAGGGCATCAAGGCTACATTTTTGTTTTGCCACTTGAGAGCATCAAAATAAAAACTGCATCGTTTCACACGGCAGTTTGAAATGGGAAACTTTCTTCTGAAGCATCAGACAATTTTCTTTTCCTGGGAAGTCTTGGAATTTTTCTAGTCCTCAGCTTTGGGGTAACAATAGTCAGTGTAAATGGAGAAAATCCCCAGTGAGAGGAGAGCTGCTTGGGGATGGCAGTTGTGTTTAGTGCTAGAAACACCCTTCTGTATTTTCCTAGCCCTGCAACAAAATGGCCATTGATGACATTGCAGCATCCAGTAGTGAAAGCAGCATGCTAATGGAGCCATCTCTTTTTCTTCCCTTCTCTCCCAGAGTTAACGTGGGTTGCGGCCCAGCAGAGGAGCGGGTGCTACTAACAGGATTACATGCGGTTGCAGACATTTACTGTGAAAACTGCAAAACCACGCTGGGCTGGAAATACGTGAGTGTCCTGGACATACATGTTCCTGTTCCTTCGTTAAGGCTTATGTGTGAGGAGTCGGCACAGTTTAGGCACAGGGCAGTGACATGCGAGTCTGAAACCCCCCGTACGTGTCCTGGCTTTGCCACTCACCTGCTGTGGGACCTGGGGTCAGTCACTTCCCTGGCCATCTGTATCTGGCTTGTACACGTAATTTGCAAGCGTTCCATGGCAGAGACCATTTCTTCCTCTGGGTGTGTGCAGTGTCTTGCAAAAGGGCCCTGGTCTTGGTGGAAATCCCTTAACACGCCCATAGAGACAAGGATATTGCTCCATCTTGCTTGTCCCGGGGACTTACCAGGAAATAAGGTAGAATTTCTCTTAAGCATGGCAGGAAGCCCCGTCTGCTCCATGCAGGGAGCTGTGTCCATCGGGGCAGGGAGTGATTTGTTAAGTGTGAGTTCTGTAAGTGTCCCACGAGGTCGCGCACACACACAGCCCAGCCTTGGAGACCATTTTTTCAGGACAGACTTTGTGATACCTAAGGATTTGCTCGCTTTCAGAACTCTTTGCAGGTGGGACAACAACATGACTGCTCCTATAGGGCCCAAATCCAAGCCTGAGTCATTTGCTCACAGCAAGCAGCATGGCCACTTTCTTCCTCTTACAAGAGAGGGGTACAAGCGGTACCCTGGCCCCACAGCAGTCTCTTATTATGACAGGCTACACACAGTCGAAATAGAGTGCAACCCCCTGGCTTTACAGGAGGCTGAAAGAGAACAGAAGTCCAGACAACGAGCTACGGGTTTACTGAGGGCCAGAATCTTAGATGCCCAAAAACGTGGACGCAAACTTGGATTCATTTCCCTCTGTGCTAACCTCCAGACCCCATCCCCTCCCGAGAGCTGAGACTCGAACCCAGGACTCCCAACCTCCTGGCTTCACCGCTCGACTGCCCTTTCTTTTCTGTACCCCTCAGGACTCCTTTTGACCCCACCTTCTCTCTGTTTTCTTCAGGAACACGCTTTTGAGAGCAGCCAGAAGTATAAAGAAGGCAAATACATCATTGAACTAGCTCACATGATCAAGGATAATGGCTGGGATTGAACGGGAGGAGCCCGGCCAACCCGGCATGTGAGAGAATGCCATCCAACCGAACATTATATCCAAGAGTGAGAGAGTGACTGAACGCTTGGTTCCATGCATTTAGAGGCTCTGCAATCTGGGAGCATCTTCACACCCTTCTCCATCCTTATTGGTGACTGGCCTCTAAATTTCTGTCTCTCTGTCTCTTTGCTTTGTATCTGTTTGTGAGTTGACCCTGGCTGCTTCTCTCTCTGTTCTGGCGTTGGCTAAGAGAATGCACCAAATGCCCGACAGCATTCCATGTTGACGAATGTCTAAGCGCGAACTGAAGCTGGCTTCTTTGGCGGCATTTTATCGGAAGGTCTCGGCGTGGGAAGGAGACCTGAGTCTTGGGTAGGAAGGGAGAGGAAGGGTGGGGGCGGGAGGGCAGAAGGGGAAGTAATCAGAAACAAAGCTCTACTTTTCCTTTAAGTCCTTTAAGGCTTGAAATGATCTCCTTGTCTGAACGGACAGAAAAATACCTCATGGCTGCGTTCTCTCTGAATCTCAAGCCTGCCGCTGCAAAGGCAGAGCCTTAGATGAAGCTGGCTGAGCACAAGTGGTAACCAAACCCCCTCCACCAGCCAAGTCCTGAATCCGCTGTCTAGTACCATCTGTCGGTGGGTTGTTTCGTACTGACCGCATGGTCGCCTTTTGCTGACTTGTTGGGGTGGGGGCTGACAGCTTAGCAAGACTCCCCACACGCTCCTCCTCCTCCTCCACTTTCACAGCTAAGGGGTAAATCACCCTGGCAGAGCAGAGCTGGGGCGACCTCAGCACCCCTGCCTGCGGGCAGCTGAGAGGAGGAGCAAAACTGTGTAATGTAGGAGAGGCTGGCGCTAGGCTTCAGAGGCATGACAGAGAGGCGAGAACCAAGGTGCGTGTTGGGCAAGTGACAGGAAAGCATGGGGGGTTGTAGACAAACTTGGAACTATAAGGTGCACCTTAATTATCCTGGCCTTACCGCGTGCCCTTAGAGCAGTGTTACAGCTTAGGATCTGGTCATCCTAACACGCAATAGAAAAATGTGCAAACAGGATTTTGCTCAAAATGTTTTGACCCCAGCCATCAGTTCCCCTCTGTGAGCCCATCGGAAATGCAAGGTGACAGCAGATGGCTCCGGCAGTTGCTAATATTTTGCACAGGTGGATATTTCAAGCCCTGATGTATCCCCCAAGTCCCCATGCCCCCAGTGTTTTTAAAAAGATGTGATACTTCAGCAAGCAAAGACACTCGACATCCCCATAGGATTCGTGCCATGGAGTTGTCGGGGGGGAAAAGAGGGTTGGATGTCTAATGGCAAAAGACAAGTCCTGCCCTTTTAAGTTTTGATTGTTAATTTTAATGAACTATCTCAATGTTGTTGGTGAGGGAGAGGGATTGTATGTGTGGAAGAGATGTGTTGCACATAAATGACGTTGTGAAGCTTTTTTCACAAAAGTCCAGCCAGGATCTGGTGCATCACTCATGACTATTTAACTGAATTAGTTTTTATCTCTTGGAGCGAATTTCTTTTTTGTTTGTGGAATTCTTTCAAGTAGGTTCATCCACTGGGGGAAAATCCTTTTTAATCTAGTCAGGAAGAGTAACGTGCAGGTGTTCGCAGCTCCTCTGGTGATTGTCACCTAATGGCATCTTTTTTTCCTAGCTGTTCCAAGTGGACAGAGTTGGGGGGAACTTCACAGGCATATTGAGAGCTGACTGGAGAGGATGCAGAAGGGTTGGTTAGAAACAGGACTGGGCTTTCATGTCGGGTACCTGTGATTAAACCCCAGCCTGATAGGGCCATGGGAAGAGTGCTTGTGCACATGCCACATCCCACTGACAGTGTGTGGGTCTGACTTGGAGCAGGGAATATGAGGCAGACTGACTGCAGCTGCGGGAAGTCATGGGCTTAATGCCTTCCTTGGTCATGCTAGGGTGGCTTCTGCCTTCACCCTGCCTGATGCAGCTGCATAACAAGACCACCTCAGCTCATTCCTGCCAGGCTCTGCTTCCTTAATCCTCATTCCCCACTGTCACAAAGGGAGCAAGAAAGGTATCGAGGTTGAGGAGTTCTTTCTCTTTCAGCCTGTTGCCTCTGGCATTGGCCTCCTCTGTATTTTCCTTTCCCCTGAATACTGAGCTGGGATATATTACTGTTTTTGGCCAGCAGGGAGTCATTTACCTGGTTTGAAAACCTGTTCTCGTTCCCTGAAAACACAGTTGTTAGATTCGATCTGAATGGGCAAAGTAAGGGACTGCCCAAAGCAGCTTGTGTGAAGGTGAGAGCGGAGCATTCCTAGCTTTGCAACTGTAGGTTGGCCGCACAGTGATTGCCAATAAAAAGCCAAATATGCCTATAAAAAGATTACCCCGGCGCACTCCAATACTAGCCTCAATGCTGCCACTACCCATTGTAAGCTGTAGTATTTTGCAGCCTTCATGTAGAATACTGCAGCACGCTTTAAAGGTCTGGGCAGTCAGCAGCATGGCTTCAGCTGCAGAAGCCATTCCCCATGTGCAAAACACAACTGTGGTGGATGAGATTGCACGGTGCTTCTTTCACCGTTTACGGGCGTTGTATTTTTAATGGCGACCACTGTAAGTTTGGACACGGCCAGACGGTGTCAATTCTCTGCTTTCCCTTCTGCGGAGCTACCCCAGTTTACGACAGTTGAGAACCTGGCCTCAAATACTGTTATGAAAAATGTGTGTTAGCCTGCACGCCTATGCGTGCACGCACGCTCCTAGCTGCAGATCAGTGTTTATACGCTCTGTGGGGCAACGAGTAATCCTGGCCTGCCAGGCTCATTTAACGTGTGTACTCCACCATGTGTCCATTAAACCTAAAGTGCTTCTTACGATGTTAAGTCCACTGCTAACTCACCTGTGACCTGCTGTATTAAGATATGGGACAGTATTGGGAGTTGATGACACAACAGAGTGACCAGATCTAGAGGCTAGAGGATATGGGAATCAGTGCATTCTAAATTGATGATTTGCAAACGAATATAGTCAGAGCATAACCAAAGAACCCGCCACCTGCATCCCATTGGTCGTGTCAACTAACTGTAGCCAGTTACTTCCATCAAAGCGTGGGAAGGGTTGGGCCCACTGAGGCAACGAAATGTCTAGATGAGGATGGAGCACTGCATGCTGGGAAGGGTAGTCCAGAGGGTCAGCATCTTCAGCGAAGGTGGGAACAGCTGCACGTTCTGCTGCGTTTCCTGTGGCTCTGGCCCCTGGGTCCTTACACCCTTCAGCTCACATCTCCCCTTGCCCCCTGAAGACACATGTGGTTTTAAATATTTGGCCCTGGTGGTTTATCATGTGTGAAATCCTGCCCCCTGCACTAGCTGTTGAGATGATAATATATACCGAACATAGCGAGCGTTATCTTGTGAAATCTACTTTTGTAAATAATATTTAATTTTTAAAAAAAAATAATATATTTGGTGCTGTTTTCTCGGAGCCCCTCCCGGAGAGCACTGCTTTGTTTTGTTGATAAATTATACCGTTTCCTCTCTCTTTGTTGGAAAATCTGTCGAAAGGGAAACAACCATCCTAATTACGTGCTGTTTTCGGAAGTCAATACACTTTCCATCTGGGCATGGTAGGGGAGAGGAATCATTTCTGGTTCCATTCTGCAGAATTTCCCTCCTATACAGGCCATTGCCAGGCTGCAAGCAGAGGCCCCTGTCCAGGGAGGCTCTGAAGCAGGTGTGTAACCTTAGACAGGTGGGAGCGCTCGCATGTCTGAAGTGACTCACATGCCTCAGCCCCTCCCTGACTGCATGCCTCCCACCTCGGTCCTGCAATTCGATGTACAAGAGAAGACCCTCGGTCCCACACGGAGCCCTGCGGAAGTCAGTGGGGCTCTGTCTGGGCAGATGCGATTGCCCGAGTAGATCTCATGGCAGCATGTGGGCCTGCTCTGTTTTCTTGCACCAGTATTGGCCAGAATGACATGAGTAACAAAGATGTAAACTGGGGATGTGGATTTGTGTGGCAACCTCCGACTCTTTTGTTTCCAGTTGCTTGGGGGAGCAGCGGGTGGGGGATGGAAAAACTGAACTAATCAAACTTTTGAGACTACAAAACAAATCTTTCTGGATGGGGATCCTGGTTCAATGTTTCCTTTGAAACCGGGCTTCTATGTGCTGAATTACAGTAAACGTTTACATCTCTGGCGGTCAAGTTAATTTTCCGTCTTCTTTTCTGTCTTTCTCCCCCTTTTTTTGTCTGTATTTCATTGGGTCTTTTTGTTGATCTCAAAGTGGACCAACAGCACAAACCGCTGGACTGTGCTTGCTGCGTGAGGAGCTGTTTGCAGTGCTGAGTAGCTGTCGCACGCTCTTTCCTTTCCTCTCTTTGGTGCACAGGTTTTAAAAAGAAAAACGAAAAAAAAAATCTGCAAATGAAACTTGTCGTTCTTGTGATGATCAAATACGAACTTTCTCTGTATGCGTTTTTCTAATGATATGTGAGTGTATTAATCATGCATTTCATTGTACTTCCTCATTTCGGAAGAAGCATCATGGTTCTGAATGAGATGGTTCTTGGATGAACAGGTTATGTGCAAACCCCCTGTTGGGTGAACAGATCTGCAAGAAGCAGAGCTCTGCTCCGAGCTCCTCCCGCTGGCTGTGGGAAAGCTCGGAGACGATTATGTTCCGCGTTGATTTTGAAGACTTCTGCTTGCAGAGAGCAAGCGGGAAAGCGTTTGACCAGAGCATTTAATTCTGAAACAAAATCAGCGTGTTTAAGCAGTATGGCGCTGGGTAAGGTACAATCACAAATAAGCTATTCTCATTGTTACGGACTCCTTTGTGCTGTTTCTCATGAGGAAATGGGAATGCTTTCCCCACTGACAAAATGAAGAGACGATATTTCCGATACCAGCCTGTCTGTTGATGCTCTCGTGTTTACAAACTGTGTATACTTTAATTTCTCTGATCTTATTTTAATTTTATTTTTTGGCATATTCTTTCAGGTCATTTGCTTTGGTGAGAAATGCAATTGTTTGTTTGTTTTTTCAAATAATTTGTTTTCACCTTTTCATGTATTTGTACATTGTACATAGTTCTTCAGTATTAGAGGGAGGCGTATTGTTTGTCATATTTACAATATGTGTTGGTGCTCATTTGAGAAAATAAAGTTTTCAAATATTAAAACCATGGACCTGCTTCTCTATTTTTCCTCCCAAGATCGTGTACCAGTGAAGACCTGCCAAAAGGGACTGATTGTACCAGTCGGCATCAAGGCAAGGAGGCGTTTGGTTGACTGGTAATTTTTTTTTTTTTTTTTTTTAGTTTAAAGATAGTAAGAGGTCATTATTATGTCCTATTTATCACCTGCACTGTCACCTTTTAAACTGGCAGCCCTTGGGGGACGGGGACCCTCCCTTGATGGTTATGTGTGATGGGGTCCAAGCCCCTAGGGGACTGTGCAGAACAATTGCCAGGCAAGATAACAATGAGCGTGGACCTGTTTGACCATATTGACCCTGCTGTACCACTTGGGAGAGTGAGGGGCTGAGAGACAATAGGATGTGCCTAAGGTCACACAGTAAATCTGTGGCAGAGCTGGGAATGGACCTGTCTCTGGCTGGCTTCTGTCCCTGTCTCTTTGCTGAGCATCTCCAGGAAGCTCGGCATTGCCATGGTCATGATGCTCTCAGGAGTGCTCCCTACAAAATCCCCTTGCTGTTTTTTTTCCCCCTTCCATCTACAGAGAACCTGCCCTTTCACCTGCCTGCTTGTAGCTTTGCATTTGCCTGGTAGGCAGAGAAACCTTGCTGGGCACCCAGGCTTCAGGCTGTATCCATAGTGATAGAAGACTCCCCTGTGCTGGGTCTCATCTCCTTTCCAATCTTTGCTTTGTTCTCAAAGAGGTTGAGGAGAAGCCAGAAAAGGCAGGATGGTGATGCCCCACCTGCTTCCCGGGGTCTTCAAAATGAAAGGGGGTGGGGATCAGATCTTCTACTTCTCCCTTGCAGGCCCAGCCAGCCACAGCCCTGGTTCATCCGAGACCAAGGACCAGCCAGAGACGAATAAGACATGTCTGGCTGATGCAGCTGGGTCGGAGTGCCCTCAGGCATCCGCAGGGAGCACTGTGTGAGCTGGGATGGTTTGGAAATGGCCAGAGAAGGGACCAGGCCTCTGGTGATCCCTCCATAGCAAGGGGAGGGCTGTGGCAGGGAGGCTGGGAAAGGCAGAAGGTGGCAGGTCTCCTAGAGCCAAAGGGATGGGAGCGGGCAGAAGGGACAATACCCAATGTCCACCTAAAGCAGAGATGGATCTGAGTAGATGCCCTCAACTGGGCGAGCTGGGGTCCTGCCTGCCCCTTGCAGTTCATCCCCGTTTCTGCCCAGCCGTAAATGCAACCCCTTGTAGCTATAACTTCCACCTTTTCCAATGACCAGCCTGGATGTTCACCAGCCCCCTTTGCCAGGCAACCCAGCTCCCAGGAGCGCTCCTGTGGGGGAGACTTCTCTCAACATAGCTGTGTGGCTGTGCCCAGATTGGCAGACGGCAGGGAGTCTGGCCCACGCCGGGAGAGTGAATTATCAGAGTAGCACGAGGAGGAGAATTCCTCCTCTAAGAAAGGGGGCCATGGGAGCTGAAAAGGAGAGAGGCCTCCCGGGGTCACACACAGAAGTAACCGTGGCAGGAAGCAAGCTAAGATCAGCCCTGCTGGCTGAAAGAACTGGGCTGTAATTTTGAGGGAGAAAACGGTTCACTGGGAGGGAGGATTTTAAATATTAAAATGTTGAGCAAACCCTGTGAAGGAGGGAGCTCGCTGGCTTCAAACACATGCGCGGGTCCCTTTATGAGTCATCCCTCCCGCTGGGTGATACCACAACCTGCCAGCTCGCAGCTGATTTAATGCTGTTAACTTAAATGCCAAATTTGCTTCTGTGGCCCCGGGTGAGCGCTCTAATACGTATCCGATTCTTGCTGAGCTCAGTTCTGAAACCCATTTGAAACCCTGTCGGATCAGTGTCTGAGCAGTATGTTAGTCTAGGCCAGCAATTCTCAACCCTTTTAGACATGAGGCACCCCTTGATATACTCAGACAATGCCAGCTCTTAGTTTCCGCTTGTTTTTCTGACTGCAGAAAAATAATAGAGCAATTCTTGTGTTGCAAAGGACTAGGAGAAACCGCAGCAGGTCAGACTGTTTTTAACACTATAGATTCCTATATGAAATCTCTCTATCTTGTGAATTGTGTCTATGCACCTAGCAGTGCTAACATTGTGCAGCACCATTGAAAAGATCTCAAAGCGCCCCAGGGTGCCATGGCACCCTGGTTGAGAATCACTGCTCTAGGGTGTTTGGAGGGTGCTGAGGTCCCGCTTGTGCTCCACCCCCAGCTCTGAAAATAACTGGACTACTAGGATGTGGCGTGCTGGGCTGTTGCTACCTGGACACGTCAGCCGAATGGATGCAGGCCTGCCATTAACTATTGGATTTCAGGCTGAGAGCAAGTCACCCTCCATGCAAGGAGGTGCTGAATGCCCTGAATTCACAATGCAGGCTGCCCCTGAAAGCTCACTGTAAGCTCAGACAGGTAAAGAGGAATTGCCTTGTATTGGGAAAGCAGTGTTGCTAAGGAGAAAGGAAATGAGTGAAGCACTAGCTGCACTGAGGGTGTCTACAGCATGGTGTGGGAGGGTATAGGTCTAGCTGGGTGCCAGATGCAGAATAGCTGCTTTCCTGTAGCTGTGTTGCTGTGATTTTTCTCAGCAGGGCTAACCTGGCTATGTGGCTTTCAGCCCGGGTATATCTCCACGGCACTGTACTGTGTAGTGCAGGCATACCCAGGAGTGCTGCCCAGCTCAGGCCCTGTGCACGCTCCGAGTGGCAGCCACAAACCACGTGCATGCAGCAGTCATCCTTCGGTCTGGGCAAACCGAACCATCCCTCGGGGAGGGCCATACAGCTTGTCATCTGCCCCACAACACCCCCAGAGCTGGAGTCCTGGTTCTGGCCATGCTGCCCATTTCCTGGGCGGGACACGGCCACCGGTACAAATCCCGGGAGTAGATCCCAGGGGAAGTGAAGTCAGTGCGAATGGTGCGCACCTCCACCACTCGCCGTGCAACGTAGGGCAGCTACGCCTTGCTGAAAGTGGTATCTCTGATGAGACTAAGGCAAGCGGCTTTGGATACGAGCAGCAGCTTGGAAACCAGCACAGGACGTGTGTTGGATCCTCCATCTCTCGGTCTTGGCTCTGTAATTAGGCTTGTTGCTACAAACCACAGAAGTCAATGTACACGAGCAGCTGCTGCTGGGCTATTCAGAAGGCTGAAAAACTCTTTGCTTTATCTGTGTTTCCTTCGCCTGTTGTCAAGGCAAGTAATTACTGGATCAAAAGGGCAGGCGGGCAAGTGCCTCTGTCCCATGGATCTGCATGTGTGTACCAGGTGGAGGAGTGACCGGACTTCCAGAGTGCAGGCAGCTGGTCCGTGTTCAGTTCAGGTTACCAGGCCGTCAGTCACGATGAAGGAAAGGCTCATGTGTACCCCCCACGCTGCGCACGAGCCTCTGGCCACATGCTCCAAGAGGAAGCCAGGACCTAGGACGGGGTGTCTGATGAGGAATGTCCGGTTTGTAAAGTTATAACCTTTTAACTCGGCTCAGCCACTTTGCTGCTGGTAACCCTGGGAAAGTCACTTGCCCTCTCCAGGCCTCATCCTCTCTCACCATTTGCTTGCTTCATCCGTATAGGAGATATGGGGCAGGGGAGTCCCCGGTGAAAAGATCCAGCCTTGTTTCACTCCCCTCAGTTTTAAAGCAGGTGCTTAGGGAATGGTCACTGCCCTGCTGTGACTCCACAGAGCCGGCCCTGCCACATCCAGCGAGGCTCTCGGCGAGGACAAAACCCCACATGGAGAAAGGCAGTGAAACACTGAGCAAAGCATGGCAGAGGCCAGGGACTGGGAAATCCTCCGTCCCCTGCCAGCGTGTGTGGAGCAGGGGCTGGGCTGCATCGCAGCTGCAGGGCTCTAAACCTCTGTTGTCCACACACGGACCGCCCTCCCCATGGTGAAACCAGGCCTCAACGGCATCACTCTTGGGCGCTGCTTTTAAATCCCCTCATGTGACGGCTCCAGTCCTCCAGAGCCTTCCCACAATCCCCCCTGTGTGGGCCCAGGACAGACAAGCTCTCCCATCCCCCAGGAGTGAACCAGAGTGGCTCAGTGCCAGACACCATGGGATGCATCCTCCCAGTGTCACATAGGCGGGATTTGGGTGCCCGGGCTGGAGTAATCTCCAGTGAGGCGGCACTGGGGCTGCCCCACAGAGTGGGACGGAGCTGCCTCCCCTCAGGGCGTGCCCACATTTTGGGGGAGTCCAGCCTCGGTTTGCCCCCTCCGGTCCCCGTGGCGGTCCCCATGCTGTGCCAGCTGCCTGGCCCCCACAGATGTTGGGGCTCCCTGGGACCAGTGCTTTGGGCTGCCTCAGTGTCCTAGGTGCCCCACTGAAGCCCCCACAAAAGGGCTTGATTTCCACAGCTTGGTGCGATAGGCTGAGCAGGACCAGAAAAGCCAGGTCAGGTGCCAGGAGGAACCTCTTTTCCAGTAACGCCAGGGCACGAGGCCACATGCTGGGAGGGCACGAGCCTCTCCACCCAACCCTGGTTGCCTGGCTGGGAGCTCCTGTTCCTCCCCGTCCTGAGCTGCGCAGGGGCTGAGCGTGCGAGCCCTGTCTCAGCTCAGGCACCTTGGCTTTGGCCATGATACGTTGTGCAGCACCCGCGTTGGGGACTCGCTGGCCACATCACAGCACAGTGCATGGACCCTCGCCAAGACGGCACCTTCCTCCTGCCAGAGCTGCAGCCTCCTCGGGTGAGACCACACGAGCGCTGGGCGGGCGACCTTGGGGAGGTAAGTTGATCTGTCTGCCTTTGTTTCCCCATTCGATACTGCCTGACTTGGCCAGCGGGGTGAGGCATGGCTGTGGTACAGCTTTCCCGCTAGAAGGTGTGAAGGGAAGGCAGGTGATCGTGAGCGGAGGGAGCCAGCGATGTGAATGGCTTCGTGAACCTCAGGGAGTTACTGCACATAGTGTTGCCTGCTGCTTGGTTTTTCTGCGGGATCCTGGAAATGCACAAAGGAGCATCCCTCGCAGTGCCTTTGGAACGGCACAAGAGGCCTGAATCAAGTGTCACTGGGCAGCTCGGGGACACATTCATCTCTCATC